TCTTCGTGACGCTACTGCGACTGGAGCTATGCCTTCTAAGAGGCTGAAGGAGTTTTGGCGAGACCTTCGTGGTGGGAGGGCGTTAAAGGTTTTGTATGGATCTACCGAGACTCAAGAGATCTCGGTCTGCGATGGAGAGGTGGAGTTCACCGAGGTAAGACGCACTGTAATTGGGAGACGTCCCACTGACGAGAGGCGTCCAGAACGACCTCGGAACACCTCAACCGGGCGTCGAGGTCAAGGTAGATGGCTTCGAAGGGGAACTTCTTGTTAAGACGCCATCTTTGTTTCTTGGGTATGTCCTTTCTCTGCACCTGAAGAGAGATAATCACTCACGTCCAGTCAGTTACCTGAACAGGCCGGAAGATTCAGCGGAGCGTTTCGACTCAGGAGGGTTTTTCAAGACGGGAGATGTCGTTATCCGTCGCGATAAGAAGCTTATCTTTCAAGGAAGGGCAAACATGGACCGTCAGTATCTGTCTCCTCGTTTCACTCTTGCATATCGATCATGATCTAACTTTCAATCTTGTTCAATGCAGTATTCAAGTTCTACACTTACAAGGTTCCCCGTATGCAAGTCGAAGCATGTCTTACAGCTCTTCCATACATCCTGGAAGGATACGTCCTTCCAGTTGCAGATCCACACTGCGACACCCGTGTTGCCTCCCTTGTTCGACTCCGTGACGGCGTCGGAAAGGTCAACTTGGAGAGAATCAGAAGTGACCTGGAGAACGAACTCCCGGCCTATCAGCTTCCGACGGTGCTTCGTGTGCTGAAACAGCATGAAGAAGTTCCACGGACTTGGTCTGACAAGCTTGCGATGAAGAAAGTGGTGCAGAAGTTCTTTCCGCAAGATAGTAATGATCGTCTTTATGATGAGGGGACTGAAGTCTTGGATGTCAGTGAGTTCATGCGGGCAAAAACCACTAAGTTGTGGGATTTGTCAGGAATGCGGCAGTAGACTCTGGTGGACCTTAACTTGGTAATAGAGTTGCATACATCACGAGTCCGTGCAAATACAACCTCTTCTCAATAAGTCGTAAGTAAAGAACATTTATTGCTTCTATTTGATCCCTTCCCCTATGTGGCATGGGGCAGCTGCATAAGGTCATCAATCGACTCCTTGATAATCTGAAGCGACCACTTGATCTCTTCTTCCTTGATCACAAGAGGAGGAGAAATGCGGATGATGCCTGTGCGACTGGATTTGAGCTAGCCAGAAGTCAGTAAACAGGCATATATCCAGGAAATAAGACTTACCAGCAACCCTTTTTCCATCATCAGCTCGCACAGGCGTATACCTGTATGCCCATTCGTCTTGGACTGGTCAATAACCATCGCATTGAGCAGACCCCTTCCGCGAATCGTCTCGATGATGTCCGTTTGAGCTTGGATTTCCTTGAGACCATCGCGCATGACGCAGCCAAGTCGTTCAGCATTCTCAGCCAATCCCTCTTCCCCGACAACTTGCAGAGCACGCATCGCAACAGCGGCTCCAAGTGGATTACCACCATAGGTTGATCCGTGAGTTCCTGGTTCGACGGTGAGCATTACAGCATCATCTCCCAACACGCATGAGACAGGATACATGCCACCTGTCATGGTCTTGCCCAAAAGAACCATGTCAGGCCTGATTCCACTCCAGTAGTGGCCCAGAAACTTTCCGGTTCTTCCAATTCCTGTCTGAATCTCGTCACAAATCAACAGAACATTGTGTTTATCGCAGAGTGCTCTTGCATGTTGAAGATAGTCGTCATTGGCAACAATGACACCTGCATCACCTTGGATTGGCTCAACAATGAAGGCTGCTAGGCTAAATCCAGCTGCTTCAAATGCTTCTTCGAGTGCAGCCTTGTCGTTTAACTGGATGTGCCGATCGGTTCCAGGGATGGTGCAGCTGATATTTGGGTCCAATGGGCCGTAGTTGTTGCGCGACATGGTATCTGAAGCTAACGCGATAGTTGCTAACTGCAAAATTAATTTAGCATCCATGAAATCAACCTCATAAGGTTCAATTCACATACCGTGCGTCCATGGTGGTTTCCAGCCGCCCCCAGCACGATAGCCTCGTTTTCAGGTACACCTTTAACCTTATACGCCCATTTCCTCGAGACTTTGATGGCAGTCTCTGATGCTTCGGCGCCGGTACTCGAAGGTAGAGCTCTATCATACCCAAAGAGCCCAGTTATATACCTCACAAATTGAGGATAGATGTCGTTATGAAACGCGCGAGACGTAAGCGTCAGTCGTGATGCCTGCTCAACCAAGGCAGCAACGAGCTTTGGATGGCAATGGCCATGATTGAGGGCGGTGGAAGCAGCGTGAAAGTCGAGATAGTGACGACCTTCAGGATCCCATACGGACGCTCCTTGACCACGGGAGAATACGATAGGAAGAGACTGGTAATTTTTGGCGGAGAAATCTTGTTCGGCTCTGAGTGCCTCTTGAGAGCTGACTCCTGTGGAAGGGTCACGGTGTTCATCGTTGGTAAGGTGACTATGGCTTTCGATTCCCATGATTGAGGACGGCGTTACAAAGGTTGATTTGGAAGTAAATTTATACGAAACAATGAGAGGGCAGGTGGATTCCAGTCACTTTTCTAGCAAAGAAATAAATACAAAGGACTGCATAACACTCCCTTATAAATTATTTTCAATGCTCACTTAGCCCATTTAATCAAGACTGTCTATAAATTGCCAGCAGTTATTTTAATATCTTAACAGGTCGTAGTTAACCGCAGCTAACCTATACATATCTTTAGTCTTTACGAAAGTGGATCTTGGTATCTATAAATAGTTAAGATGCAACCGCAAGGCGGCCCACTTTATCTCTCGGGAGCTTGATCTGCCAATTGGATTTTGTATAAAGATAGTCATCACACTGAGCTTACTTAATTAGGCTAGCCGACAAGAAAACGGGTCCACATGGCCAATTCTGTTTAATATTTAACACTAGCATACTCTTCACAGTCTCGAGGCAAAAAGAGTTAGCAAATTTCATCACACATTGTATTTTACTACCTTTATTACAGCGAAATTAGAGCCTGACACGATAAGGCATTGTAATATGAGCTGCTAGTATCAATCTTTTCTCACCGAACTTTCTCATCTCTCTGAAAATCCTCGATAACGTCCTGGTAGAAAGCATCATCCGTGAGTACATCCCATCCAGTCATCGCCATTGCCTTTCCAGATATCACCGACCTCTCGTAAGCAACAGAAGCCCCCGCCGCCTTAGTAAACCCAGCTGTATGGTTTTTTGACCCATCCCCCGCTGGGATACCAATGACTGCATGAAGAGCTGGTATAACATAAGACACATTTCCTTGATCTGTAGCTGCGGCAACAGGGCCCTCCGTCTTGAGGACTTTGATACCGTTAGCAGCTATGTGCTCTTGAAATGAGTGGCATAAGGGTTCATTGACACGCAATTCCGAGTATCCGGCTTTTTCTTCAACGTCTAGCTTGCAACCGGTAGCAAGAGCCCCAGCTTCCATGCATTGACGAATTCTACCAGCCAGATTCTTAGCTCCACGGATCGTGGTGCTTCTAGCTGTGTATTCTGTCTTGGTGAGAGCTGGAATCGCATTGGAAGAAGGTTTCGGTGCTTCAACAATAGCACCATGGATTCTCTCAGAAGGTAGTATCTGCTGCCGCAGCATCGAGATGTTGACGTAGGTTGAGACCAACGCATCAAGGGCATTGATCCCCTCCCATGGAGTGGCTCCAGCGTGGGCGCTGACGCCATGGTATGTGCCTTGAATGTTGTATGATGCGACGTTGGAGAATCCCGCTGAGCCCCAGACGCCTTTGTCTGTATACTCGTCATCCGACATTGGGTGCCTTTCGATAGTCAGAAGCTTCATCTTAGTATGTGCTGATGGGGTGAAACTCTTACATCATCAACGACACATCTATCTTGTCATAAGCTCCAGCATTGAGGAGATCAATCTTTCCGCCTCCATCTTCTTCAGCCGGTGTACCAAGAAGTTGTACCCTCCCATCAACACCAAACTTGTCCAGAACATGAGAGAGGGCAAGGAATCCAGTTATACTCGCTGTGGCAATAAGATTATGACCACATGCATGTCCCATTCCTGGGAGTGCATCATACTCTGCATTGAAATTGACCGTCCTGACTCCTTTTCCACTAATGGCTTCAAATGCTGTTAGGAGCCCGTACGCATGTCGCTTTACGTGATGACCGAGGCCTTCCAGTAAGTCACAGATTGCATCATGTGCAATGTGCTCTTTGTATGCAAGTTCAGGATTCTCGTGGATCTGCCATTGCACGCATTAGCAGCTAGGGTCTAAGACTCTTGAAACATGGGTGATGCCCTCACAAGCTTATTCACAGATTTGAGTTTGGGCTCAAGACTGGTAATATAGTCGCTTATTAAGTTTCGTAAGTCTTCTTTTGATGGCAGGCTAGAATGATCCTTCACGGCCGCCTTTTGGCCCTCCATGGAAACAATCATATGGAATAAAATGAAATGAAATGATGAAAGTTGTTTTGTGTCAAGAGCAAAAGTTGAGGGGAGGTCGATCAGATTACGGATAAGGGCTCGATGGCTTACTAAAGACCTCGAAGGCGTCAAGTAAGTGGATATCATGATTATTATAGCCATCTAGCCCTCGATCGACGAATGCTGTATGCACATCGCTGTTTCTGGTCAAGCATTTTCCGTTGTACTCCTCAGTGCTGTGGCGTTCTTCTGTTTCCAGCCGTGCCATTCCAATGGCCTCTTGAAGACGGTATTGGCTCTCCATGTTAATGTTTCTTCCAATCAGATCTTTTTGGCGCAGTGACCTCTATACGAAGCTCAACAGAGGCTTGACCGCTATTCCTTTGTATTACGAGACTCATTTTCTATAGGCAATCTGTACTTAGATATCCCCGCGGCAGCTTGCTCCAAATTTGGATGTCACCTATCTAATTCTTGACCCAACAAGCACCTTTACAGCTGATCATACCTTGGTATTCAACCGACTGATACCACAATGAGTCTTATTGCTCGACAATCACTACTTCAGGTGACCACTCCTCGTGTTATAGGAGCCGCCTTAACGTCATACCAACATCATCGCTTCTGGATGCACTCATCAGAGCTCAAAAGCGCGATTTCTCACCATCAACGCACTAATGCCATCGGGGAACGTCCCATAGTCCTACCCAATACCAAATCTACGACGATTGAGCCGAAAACAACCCCTTTATGTATTCTACCGTTGGGAATGATCATTCGGTCTTTGCTTATCACCTCGATTTATTCTTCTGCTATACTTCAAAACTCATCTCTTCGAATCCTGTGGATTATAGCCCACGCTGAGAGTACTCTTCTCAGCCATGACAAAAATCCCATTCTCAAATTCCTTCTCAAGAAAACATTTTACGCTCAATTCTGCGCTGGTGAGACTCCAGCTGAAGTACAATCTACTGTCACCAATTTGAAAAATATCGGCTTTGCGGGTGTTATTTTGTCACACGCCAAAGAAGCTGCCGGCAAGGAAGAAGAAGCAAAGGCTGCTACCACTCACGACCTAAGCGAGGAGACGGCTCATGATGTCACGACCGAGATTCAGCCCTGGGTTGACAGTGTAGTTGAGACTATCAAGATGACTGAGCCCAATGACTATGTTGCACTCAAATTCTCTGGTGCAGGCCGTCTCGCTTTATACAACTTGTCGCAAAACATTGGTCCATCTCCATATCTGTCCAAGTCTATTCACGATATTTGCACCCTAGCCCGCCAACGACGTGCTCACCTCCTCATCGATGCCGAGCATGATTGTCTGCAAGAGGGGGTCGACAAGTGGACCATGATATATGCGCGGAGCCACAACACATCAGTTGACACCGCAACTATCTATGGCACATACCAGGCCTACAGAAAGGTAACGCCTGCGACTATATCACGGCATCTCGCAGAAGCTCAGGAAGGTGGCTTTACTCTCGGTGTAAAGCTTGTTCGCGGCGCCTACCTTGATTCTGACCCTCGTCACTGTTTCCATGATACGAAAGCCGAAACAGATGATTACTATAATACAATCTCGAGTGCCATTATTACGAGGCAGTGGGGTCCAGTTGTTGACGGAAATGGAGAGTTTCCTAACGTCCATATGGTTCTTGCTACCCACAACACTGAGTCTGTTAGCCAAGCTCGAATTATCTGTGACGCCGGGAAAACCAAGACTGGGGTTGTCTTTGCTCAACTCCAGGGGATGGCAGATGAAGTTGGCTGCGAGCTTATTCAATATAACTCCGGCAGAAATTCCGTCGCCTTGCCTGCTTATAAATATGTTGTTTGGGGGAATTTGGCGGACTGCATGAAGTATCTTCTTCGCCGTGCTTATGAGAATCGGGATGCTATTCAGCGCACGGAACGTGGACGAAAGGTTATGTGGGCTGAGCTTATTCGGAGATGCAAGATGGCTTTGTCCTTTTCTGTATAAGGCTCATGGGAACTGGAGTTGGAGTTTGACACAAGAGAAGGAAAGAGTCTATGTTCGCTTGACATCAATCAAGAGTGAAAGATATCTGATTTTCCTAATAAATTCTATGAAACTTAAGTTAAAACCCAGGCCTCCGAGCCTTTACTTAGTTATGCAGAGCTGATATATTGTCTAAGTTGTCTAATCCGTCCGTCCCGTCTTACCGAAACTCCTCCAGAAGTCCATACTTGTCCGTAACCGTCCCAGTGTCCTCCTTTAACTGAGAAAGCGTTGCGTTCTTCTTGTTGTACAAGCGCCATGATAAGTCATGTAGGTATATCACCAATGCTCTAACGAGCGCTCTGCAGTTGTCCTTCTCAGCTTTCCTCATCTTCAGGGGTATCTGGCCTTCGGCCAACATTATTGAACCGCATACAAACCACAATCAGAGCGCCAGGTATCAATATCAGCATGGCTATGAACCAATGCAGACCAAGCCATCTGCCTCCCCAGTCCATTCCAAGCCGGAAGCCAGCAGCCATAACCGGACCAGAGACAACAGCAGCTATTGCATTCAGCACTTCCACAGCCGAAAGGACCGCACCAGCACCGCAGCTAGATGCCATGGTCAACAGGAGACTCCGAAGAGCTGGATTCAAGCAGAAGTTGACTGCGGATAAGACAACTGCTATAATAAACATGACCAAGTTATCAGCGAACCCAGCCATGCAATAAGCTATCACAAGGATGATTACGCAAGTTCGAGCGACCCATATATCTTGTGTAATAGCTGGAACATGAGATTGTCGCATAATCTTTTGTGCGAAGGGTAGTGCAACAAGGCATAGCCCTAGCTGTGTGAAGCTTTTGATCGAAGTGATAACGCCAGCCTATCTCTATAATTAGCTTTGATCGGTAAATATCGCAGCTTCCATACCTCTGGCCAAGTTAAGGAGAATCGCTTCGCTGCATATTGTTTCGTGATAATCGAACCGATATCTTCGCCAACGTCAATAAAGAGGAGGCTGAAGATAAAGAGAGTCACTGTTGAATCGGACCAAAAGATGTCCCGTAGCGATTTAAACGATTTAGTCAATAACTCTTGACTCCCGGTGCGGATCTTATACGTGAAAGACATTTGGCCTCGCGAGCTGCTTGCATCTGATTGCTCACTCTTAAGGGACAGAGTTTCAGGGATAAATATAGTCGTGATGAGTCCAAGGACTTGAAATCCCAGTGACATAAAGATAGCCGGCCACTCTCCACTGGAAATGAGGTAGTAAATTGCAGGCCCGCTGATAAGCGTTCCAACAACCAGACCAGTTGACATTACAACAAAAACACCAGATCTTTGATCAAAATTAGCATAAATGGCCATGGGCCGGAAACAAATGCCCATACCTGCGTGACTCTGGGACTGCATCGCTTGCCATTGCATAAACCATCATTACTGGAACTAATGGCCCGCCACCGATAATAGATATAATCGGGGCCACCCAAAGAAGACGCAGAGGAAAGATATGAGGAAGCCAGCCTAGAAGAGGGTGAGTTCTGGTTCAGAATGTCTCACCAGTGAAGACGTACAAATGATAATGCCAGCTAAGCCATAAAAGACGCACCCAAGTGTCGCTATCATGAGAACCGGCTTGCGGCCGTAAATGTCAGCCGCGAGACCATAGGGAATGCTAAAGATAACCGTCGGAAGTAGTTCAAAGGTCGCCTTCATGCTTAAAATGATAGACAGCTCTCCCTGCACACGCTCATCCTTGCAGCGCGGATCTGAAGTAGGGTCAGTAGCACCATGGTACTGCCGACACAAGATACCCTCCAAAATCTGGCTGAGGATGGTATTGAACATATTGGGCGAAAGCTTCAAGAAAATGAACGACATGTATCCCAATGCAAGCAGTCGAAAGTGATGACGCCATGGGCTGTACTCGTCAACCTTATTATCCTCCTCAACGTCGCGCTCCTCTGGCTGCAAAAGCAACTCGTGCTCGTCAATTAAAACATCGGAGTCTGTCGCGGGGACAGTAAAGCGACGCTTTGCGCCCGAAGAAATGGCAAGGCCGTGCGTATGCGCAGCACGGGGTGCCATGGTGAAGAACGTTGTTGTGTCGTGGTTGAGTTAGGTCGATTAGCGCGTAAGCAAAGCGAGCGGGGAGAGGGTAGTGGTAAGGCTAGGTAATTGTGCTATGTATAGTGCAAGCACATATTACTATGTAACGGCTGGTGATATCACGCGCCCGCAGAGCTTGTCAGACGACACCCGTATTGGATGCAATCGGACGTGGGGGCGTCACAAGGGCCGCATTCAGCAGGTCTGTCAGCGAGGGGGTTTCATCAGGTGGCGAAGGGAGGGTTTTTGTCAGTACGTATAGCCACTGTTCCATGGTGAATCTCGGCCCAGGATGTCAGCGTGCTCAGTTACTTCTGCATTCGGAATGACATCGTTCTCGGAGGGATAGCACGTTTGCAGGGCGGGTTGACTGTTAAATAGACAGCTGTAATGCAACGCGCTGAAACAAAACTGACGTCACTGTCTGCCTTGAGAGCTTCTTGCTTTTAATATTTATATAGAGATAAATGTTTAATTAAAAGTTTATAAATATAATAACTATCTTTAAGAAAATACATTTATTTTATATTTAATAGCTATTATATATATCTATAACTAATTACTTATCTTATTATTAATAGCTTTTTATTAAATATATAAGGTATATAAGCTATGTAAAAAATAAACGCTATTTAAAACGCTTGGATATATAAGAGCCTAATAGTAGTAGAGATTTTTATGATTGTAATACAATTGGTAGTTAATGTAGCTCTTTCATCTAGGTATGCATTTTAACTTCATTTCTGGGTGATTTATCCACGTTTCAGGATCCCTCTTCCATTCCTCAGCTTGGTCATCAGTAAAATGCAGCTCATAGCCCTGTAGCAAATGAATGAGAATTGCTCTCAACATCATATCTGCCACGTACTTTCCCATGCACTGTCGCGGCCCAAAGCCAAACCTCCAAAAGTTATACCTGGATTTGACTGGGCTTAGAGATAGATGACGCTCCGGGCGATAATCAAGACCATCTTTTCCCCAGAACTGGTTCCGCTGATTTAAAGCATATGCGTCGATAATGAAGTTGGTGCCGGCGGGAAAGAGGAAACCATTAATTACACGGTCTGTTGGAATTGCCTGCGGAACAGAAAAGGCTGCCAGGGGCCGTAGCCGTGATGATTCTAATATGCATGCCGATAGGTAGGTGGTTGAGTCAGTGAAGTAGCTGTTGAAACCTCCTCCCCTAGGGCTTTGTTTCCACTCCCGTACTTCATCAAGTATACGCCGTTGGTGCTCAGGGTACGCGGCTAAAAACACGAGGTTCCAAGAAATAGCCCCCAAGGTAACATCTAGGTTGGCAAAAAGAGTCTCATCGAGAGTGTGCAAAAGATGCTCCTGGGTCATCGTGCCCGAAGTCACAGCATTATAGAGGTCCACGATCGGGGGTCGAGATCCAATGTGGATAGCTCGATCAAAGGCGTCCCGATTAAACTCAACCCACTGCTCTTTGAACAACTCGAGGGATTTGTTGGTGTCGGTCGGGAAAAATCGTGACCAATTGAATCTCGACAGACCGCCTTCTATGACCTTGCGAAATATGCCTTCGCGTACAGGTGCAAGTTCAGCAAGAAAGTTTTCCATTTCCCTTGATAAAGATCCATAAAGCACATCAGCGATGATCCAAAAAGGGAGCATCTTTAAGTCTGCTGCTGGATCGATGATTCCCTTGGATAAGTTGTCTCCGGCTTCAAGGGAATCGAAGTGACGCACGGTTCGTTTCTGTATAATCTCCAAGTATTTTGGTACCGCACTTCGCATGAATGCAACTTCTGAGACCTCTCTGACCCGTTTCCATTCATTCTGGCTCACAAGACCAACACATTTTCCAAGCAGTTGCCCCAGTATATACCCAGAGTTATTATCAACTGCTTTGATGTGTTTGTCTGAGTCCTTGAAAACTTGCTGGACGTCTTCAGGTCTTGTGAGAACACTACGATAGATTAGACGGAAATGGGAGTAATGGTGCTGCATACGTACACTTCAGGATTAGGACCTGACCATATACGGTAAATGGGCCCATACTCTGACTCCCATTTAACACTGTTCTCCTTACCGTGGAGAAACTTGGCTGCGTCGCCTTGGCCACTGGGGAACCAGTATCTGTTTGAGGGAAAGGGTTTCCCGGCACCAACGTCGCGAACTTGATGAAGTCTCGATAAGAAGGCCTATGAAATATAAGCAATTGACGTGCAAAGAATGAAATAGCTGGCACACATCAATGACAGTTGACAACAGCCACTTCACGGGTCGGTTGAGTAGCCTCAAACTAAGAAACAACAAAACGAGAAAGGGACCTATGAAAGGACTCCAAGTTACAGTCATCAAGTCAAGAAGTGAGTGGGTCTGAGGAGTGTTGATCATTTTGATAGATGGGCTCGGAATGAATGCGTTTCATCAGTGGTCCGGAGCTACTGGCAGTAATGAATGAATTTCTAAAACATTGACTCTGCTCTATGAAGTTGAACCCATCTGGGTTGCTTGTGGCTTGAGCCCCACCTTGAGGTCCGGAGTTCCCTGTCCAATGATGTTGGCTCGGTAGTGGCAGGGCTATTTCGGTGTCCGTTGCTACCTTTTCGGCCCATACCATCGGTCACTATGGTTCAACAAATTGAATATACTGCCACAGACACAGGTTTTCTACCAGATGAGACGTTGATGAATGTTAATCATGTCCAAATCGTGGCGCTCTCTCCAAAACATCCTTGACAGCTGGACGGTCTAGCATCCTCTGAGCCCACTCATTAACAGCGGGCCAATCTCTTATGTCTACACCGAAGAGATTAAACATCCAAGGCATGGCAAAGGGAAGATATGACAAGTCTGCTAACGTCGGACGGTCCTTCAAAGCGATGTATCTCTGGCCCGGTTCTGTAAGGCGTTTGTTGAGGATATCCCATTGCTTAGTTGTATTCTGGTGCAGTCTAGAGTAGTAAGTTAGTCATTATACCCACAATCAAGTACCGCGGCTTAACAACTCACTTCTCGATTGTCCTTGGAAGCTGAACTGGCTCTTGTCTATTCGGATACCCTTTTAAGAAGTAGAGCCAATACTTTGCTGTAGCCCTGGACCGTTTGTTAGCAAACATGTTCGCGCATGTAACATTCCTAGTCGGCTTACCCCAGTCCAGCGGTCTGATAGGCCGTCCATGAAAGCACAGCTCCCTTCTCGGCCGCTGTTCTTCCTGTCCAATCTCCATTATTATCAGATCGGTCCGCTAGATATTGGAGACAGGCAGTGCCTTCAAAAACAATCACATCCTGTCCAGTTTCCGGATCACGGTCCTTGAGAGACGGGACGTAGCGCTCTGGGTGGATTTTGTAGAACCATTCGTCCTTAGTATCGATAATGGAAAGGACATAGGGGGCTTTGAGCTCTTCGGCTAGGATAATCGGTTTGATGTAGTTGATATACGATGTGGCATCAGCTTCTTGATCAGCTTCTTGGTCTGAGATGTGTATGTTCGAGCTTTACCTTTGATAATGTACAAGATCACCCTGCCATCGGCATCGACGTCTCCTTTGACTATTTCGCCATTCATCATTATGATTCTTGATATGTGATCGTATATCCAACTCGGTGCTGTTTGAAGTCTATGTCTGTATCTAGATGAAATAAAGAGCCATCACCAAGGCCAGCGGACCGAACATCATATCGGCACTTGGTCTCTGAATATACCCTTATGGCCTCAAGTCAATAGCCTGTACCCAAGCATTCCTCAACGGCAAGATCCTCTCGGTCCGCCACCCAGCCCTCTCAGCTAGTTCATTCCACTTAGCTTCGGTCCTTTCCTGTCCATTGACAGTCATCATCATGTTGATGTCTCCGTATACCGAAAGCCTGCCACTCCGAGTGTCGGACAGTACGGACTCCAGCACTATCAACCGGCTTGAGTCGGTCTCAATGATGGCCTCCCGAATGTTCTTTAGAACTTTGACAACCGTCTCGTCATCCCAGTCATGGAGGCACCACTTCATTGTGTAAACCTCATACTGGGGTAATTTCTCTAAAAAGTTCCCGGATAAGAGATTACCACGTGGCACCCGGCTTTCCAGGTCCTCATAATGACCGCCTTTAGTGAAGAATGGAATGATGTGATCTATGACAGCAGGTCGGTCAAAGAGAGCCCCGGACATCCCGGGGTTAGCTCGTAGGAGCGAAGCTAACAGAGCTCCGCTACCTCCTCCGACATCCATGACAGTTTTATCTCCAATCTCGTGCCAAGGATAATCTACGAGAATTCCAGGGGCCATTGCCTTGGCACCCCCTCCAAGGGTCTTGTGTAGTTGCGGGACCCAGCCTTGGCTTTCAAAGTAAGCAAACATGTCCAAGTCGGTGTCGAAGTTGACCTGTGCGGCGCATCGAGTAGAGCCAGATTGAACAGCTTCTGGGATGCCTCTTGCAATATCAAAGAATTGATTGCCATAAAGAGTCACCCAGTTATGCCATTGAGTTGCATGATCCTTCAGTAATAGTCTGGACACATGGTTCAGAGCGTACTCTTCCGTCGCAGGTTCATAGGAGAAGATACCCTTAGTGCATAGAGGACGAAGGATTTGGCCTAGCCTAAGTGGCGTTGCATGGGTCACCGTAGCCAACTGATCCAATGTCTTTGAGCCATTGACGAGATGACCAGGAACATCCAGGTCTACCGCTGCAACGAGACATTTGGTATCAGTGTATCCTGCATATCTGGTTAGTCAATTAATAACTGGATTACGGATAAGCTGGATGGTAGGTTACCAAAGAAATGATCCGCGAGGATAAGATGGGCCGGTTCCAATATTAATTGCATTTCTCCCAGCTTGTCCACTACCGACGTCGCACGCTGCAAAACCTGCTTATCCGGCAAAGCTTGGTCATTATGTAACAGCTCTTGCAATTCTCTTTTGACGCCATCGTTGGTTAGTATCGACAGGAACGCTGTCAAAGAGGCCTCTAGCTGGACAAGGGTTTGAATAAGCGACATAGTGAGCTCAAAGTGATGACGAAATAACTGTGGTACTTCAGTGAGAGGCTAGCACTTGTACCCGTTTTACAGCGCTTAAACAATCCAGGTGTGGCAGTCGAATATATACTTACGTGACTAAACGATAATTGGTTGGAGGAAGACAGCAGGTCTATGCGGAATGGTCGGCGTGTTCATTTCGGCCCGTATCTACTAGGTTAGAAACCCCGGAGTAGTAAGCCTCTGTCGGCATTCAAATTCACAGGAAGACGATGAAAACACTGCATATAGAGGCTACCCACTAAGATTTAAAATGTTCCTGAGTGCGATGTATAACAAGAATAACCGTTTAGGCCAATAACTGGCGTAGACTAAGGGCTTCACATATGTAAACTGATACAAGAGGATACTTTCAAATTATTCAAAGTCTACCTCAGTTATGAAGAACAGTAGAGTGATCATGTGAATGCATCCCATCAAGCCAGCTCAGCGCCAAGCTGAGCGGCCGCAGCACCAGCTGCCAAACATCCCATACCAACTGCCTGGGACACCGCCTTCATCATGGTAGCACAATCTCCCACTGCAAAAGCTCCCTTGACCTGAGTCTCAAACATCTGACCCTCCGTCTTGATATCGCCCGTCGGTGTAAGTTCAAGTCCTAGCTGCTCAGCAAAAGGCCCATTGATCTGCCCCATCGGCCCGTGGGCCAAAAATCCCTCAACCACCTCAGAGCCATCCTCGAACTTGATCACAATGTCCGAGATATCTGTGGACTTCATTGAGAGGCCCACGATTTTGCGATTGTCTACTGTGATGCGACTTTTGGCCCCGTCTGTACCAGTGGCTATGAGGTCGGACTTGATCTGTTCGCCCAGACTGTCTCCTCCGTTGGTATAAATCACGGCTTTATTAGAGAGCCGTAGGACCATGCGAGCAAGATGGAGTGCCATGGGTGAGCTACCACTGAAGTTCATACCAAGGACACCTGCAGATGGCTTGCCTCGGTCCTCATACCCATGACAGAAGAGGCAGTGAAAACTGATGGCGTTAGTGAATCTATTGTTCCATCTTAGAATTCGACACTTACATTCCTTTAGCCCAGCATTCTGAGTAACCGGGAATATCAGGGAAAAGATCCTTCCATCCTGTAGCAAGGAACAGCTTTTTACCTGTCCAAGTAGTCCCATCCGCGTCGACCAGTTCAAAACCAGAATCAATCTTCCTGGCAACGTCTACCTGCTTGTCGACAAACTGGAATAGGTCTGCATAACGGTCTAAGAGGTCTTGCCGAGCCTTCGAACGAAACTCGGCAGGTGACTTATGATCCCACGCAACGAAGTTATGCATGTGGTTAGACGCGGCATTGCGGTAAACTCCTGAGTCAAAGATGGCTACTTTGTACACCTGACGCACGAGGCCGATTGCTACCGATAGTCCAGCTGGACCGCCCCCTATAACAAGGGCGTCAAAAGTGGTGTTTGCGGTCGACATTGCAAAAAGAATATGAGAGCGTATATATAAGCTTGGTTAAGAAATTAGTTTAGTCTCGGAAAGAGGCATGCGGTTCAATTGAAGACATATTTAACATTGTGAGATGCCTTCTCGAGGATTAGACTCTTGACAACCGACGGGCCGAAGGGGCCATACTGCAGTGGTGCAGGACACCGATGGCCCGATGTAGCGCGAGCCGGGGCAACTGCAGCTTGGACTTTCAGAAGCGCTTATGATAGAATCACCGTAGTAAACACAAAAGGAGTTACACTGCTGGCGTCTTGAGTAATTATGTGTTCAGAGAATCTGGTAAAGGTCACAATACTTCGTAGCAACACATCCTCCACCATGGACAACCTGATGAACAACGAAGCTTTCAACACCGTGGCGACAATCCTAAATGTTGTCATCGACAGCCTGGACCTTGATGCCAGTTTCATTCAGAATGGAGGAGACTCGCTCAAAGCCACGTCTCTTGCAAACCATTTCCGTAAACGAGGAATAATGGTCACGCGAGAGATGATCCTCACGAGCCCTTCGCTTAAGCATCTTTTCAACCTCTTCGAATGGCCATGGATGGGCAATTATGACCTGCAGGTTGATTCAACCCCAGCAGCCTACTCAACTGGTGTGTCTGAGAGCGACTGGCAGACAGTCTCTCCTGCGGAGCAAGACGTTTTGTCCAGCCCGAACGGCTCTAGCTGTAAGACGTCATGTTCAAGCGTATGCTCCTCCGCGTCCACGTTAGAAAAAGAAGTGTTTCCACCTAAAGAAAGCTTATCGGCCTATCGTCTCGACCCGATATCGATGGCTCAAGGGGCCCAGCAGGCCACAGAGATGCAGTTGGCGCTGGTCCATGGAACTCTTAAGGATCGTCGAATGAACATGATCAGGTTTACCATGGTGCATCGCAACGAACACATC